ACATACAATGAAAAAATGAACATGAAATTGAAATGATTAACATGTTTAAATAATATTACAATAATAAAATATTAATTTTTTATTATATTTTATCAAGTAGTGACCTAATTTTTGTTCAAAAAAATATATTTTTACTAATTTTTATTATTACATTTATTAAGTTAATTTTGTAGTTTACAAAAAAAGTATGAGCATAGATTAGATTAAGTGATAATAAAATTTTAGATATAAAACTGAGCTTTAATTTTTTTATTCATGAATTATATGAGTCAATATGACACGACGTAATTAATTAAATGAATCGAATTAGGGTTGACTAATATTGAACACAAACCCAAAATTACACAACACGAACATAATTTAATACGACATGATTGTCACCCTTAAATAGAATTACAGTGCAGCGGAGGTATTGTACTGAAATTTGATGTTGACCATTGATTTGGAGTTGAATATTTTTTGACAATTAATTGAAAAAGTATAAAAATATAAAAAATTTACACGAAAACATTTTTATTCGCAGAAAAATGAAAGTAGGATACCTTTAAAGTGGCATTTCAGTGTTAAAACTGGACCCTGTGAAAATGACACTGCCACCCCCCCAACCAAATGCATTTGATTAGATATGGGCCATTGCTCCCAGGGGGCAACTTTATCATTGAGTCTCTCATATATACATTCCATTTCTGACAGAGTGATCTAGCTTTTGTGTGGAAGTTTTTGCTTGGCATGGCTTGTTGCACAAACAGAAAGTTTAGTGCTTTGTTTGTCATACCACATCATTCTTGGTTTTTTTTCTTTTTTTTGTTACAAGATTTTAAATTTGTATCGTTTATTCTCTCAAACTCAACGACGACCATCATGACATGAGTTGAAATAGAATATGTTCCTGAGGAATAAGAGTGATTGACCCTTAGAGGATATGAAAAGGGATTAAATCTGAAATCTCTGAATTATCAAACGTTAAACTCAACCGCTGAACTACCCTTAAGAATTTCATACCACATCATTCACTCCTTCTGAATATGTGTTTTTGCCAATGTTTTAAAGATATTTCTCTAACTTTCCTAACTCTTTTTTGTTTTTTTTTTGTTTTCAAATGTAAGATAATATCATAATCCTCTCACCGATAATACATGGCCACATCAATGCAAAAGACTCTTACTACTGCAATCTAAAATGATTCACTTGCATATGTAATATTATCGTTGTGTGCTGAGAGTTAATTACGTAACCGTAACCATCTAAGTCGCAATAAAATAACCTTGTTATGAATACTAAATGAAGACATGAAGTTGTGGCTGTCATCGTGGCCCTCTTATGGATAAGAACACACAAAATAAAGAGCTCTGCAGTGTCCTGCAGGAGGGTTCTTTCCCTTGTTCACGCACATAGATATTACTAGTGAATGATTCAACCTTTAAGGAAAACTTTTGCTTAACATGTGTTCTTACCTTACCATTTTTAAGTATTCAAATAAGGAATTACTACGTTACAAATTCCTTTCTTCCTTTCCAAGTTTTACTTGGAGGATGTTGGTATCTTAGCCTCGTTAACAATTAAGGATTGCTTGTAAATCCTTGGGTGTAACTCAGTGATTAAGTCTGTCCTCTTACAAATAAGAGATTTTAACTTCAATACTTTTCACACCCCTTATATGTCAGTTACCCTAATTTCTCGGGGGACATATTTTTAAACCAGCTCGAATTACGATAACTGATTTAAAGCTCAAGAGAGTAGTTGACACAAACCTTAATACATTGTAATAAAAAAAAACTAAGGATTGCTTATAAAAATCCATCAAAATATTCATCTTGAGAGTTAAATGCACTAGGAAATAGAAGAGTGATGACTAGCAATTTTAACGTAAAAAAATTTGAGTCGATATACCATGTAAAAGAAAAAAAAGTATAGAATTTTGACAATTTTTTAGAATAATAAATACCTTAGTTTCAACGTGAATGACTTATTTTTATCAGATCGAAGAGAGAATTAGTCGAGATACATGTAAGCTATCTCAAATATCCCTAACTAAAAAAGAAAAAAACGTATAATCGTAAGAATATTGGGACCATCCGGTATAAAAGTAAGTTCAATTTGGGTGATAACTACTAGATATTAATTAACATAAATTGCTTGGTTTGTCGGAGATGGATGAGCTGTAGTCTGACTAATAAGGTAAAACCAGCACTTCTGAGGACAATGACACAACAATAGATTACATAAAAGCTCAACTAAAATACTTTAAGGAAAAGAGGGAAAGAGAGTCAAAGTTGCAAGGACACATTGACTCTTAGTGGTATTGTAGTTGTAGGTCAGCAAAATACCAAACCAAACTACACTAAACCTAACTACCCTTCATTTGATGTCATCCCCATATAAATACTTGTAATTGACGTTTGTTTTATTCTTTCTTTTTTTCCCTAGAATGGAGAATAAAGTCGTAATTACACATTTTTTTGACTTATGATTACAAAGTAAATATCGTGTTTACGTAATTACTTACAAATCACACGTATTTTATTAACCTTACTTTCTTATAGAGTTGAAAAATGTCATATTTTGGATTTGTGAATCTACTTCTTATTTTCTTATTCAACTTGTTAACCAATCTTGTGGGTTTTGTTGAGGATGTTTACTTGTCAAGTGTTTTCGTTGTTTACCTTATCACATGCCTTCAAATTAGGATTATTCCAAACCAACACTCCAATTCACGTATTGCTCAATTTATTTATTTATTTTTCTTCAACAGTCTGGTATTCAGATTAGTCTATGTGTATTTTGATTAATTTTTTCTTTAATTTGGTAAAAATAAGCCATCTACATTCGGACTAAAGTATTCAAGAGAAATATCTGACCCAAAATATTACCAAAATTCAAATTTAAGACGTCAGAATTTATAATTTGACTTTGCTACTACTTGAATTATTTCCAAATTCAATGAGTATCGAAATGAAAGGTGGGCCCTTTCCAGTCTTATCACCTCGGAACTAGAATTTTCATATTAAACAACTATACGATAGGCAAAGAAAGCAGAAAATAAAAGACATCGTTTTCAAAAGTTCAAAACTTGAACAAATTTATGGGTGTGTTAAACTTAAGAGTCAATGGTGTTTATAAACTTTTAAAACACAAACATAGAAGTCAATGCACTCAGAATATATCAGGCATATACATGGTAGTTGCTATCATGCAAAAAATACACACATCCCTCGTTGTTGAGTGTCGCCTTCTTTTTCTTCTTTGAATAGAATAATTAATTTTTTGAGCAAGAATGAATAATTAGTTTAAGCGTATCATTCATACGTATTATTAGTTACTTATAAATAACACACATTAGATAAATTCAATGTGACATGAAACTTGTAATAAAACTAGTAAATTTTTTTTTCCTTTTTCAAACAAAATTTTATCATTTTTTACTTGAAACTAACAAATTTTGTCTTCGATATTATTTGTAATTCAATTAGGGTCGAATTCTATGTGGTGGGGGTCAGTGTCAAATTCAATATGATGGTACTAATATAGTTATAATCCAAGGGGTAAATTTTATAACAGTAGAAACGAGCTATAAACTTAGACGTCTTGAGTTTGAATCTTGGTAATTCATTAGAGTCAGACAATGAGATATTTATCTCTCATGAATACTCTAATTCCGACGTGGATGACCTGCCCTTAACCAGATCGAAAAAAGAATTAATCGATATGCATATGAATTGACCTAAACACACGTACAGTTCGAGAGTTGAGCCCCAACACAGGGGTTTAGGTCAACACTTATATAATACTCAGTCATTAATTGGTAACGGGCAAGAGGATGATGAATTATGATTGGTCTAAACCTTCGACCAACAACTTATTACGACCCGTCCAAAATGCCAGTATAAGTATGTACATAAAAGAATAAAAAATCTATATACATGAGTGAGAGATTCACTTATATAGGCTTATTTGATTGCTGTATTATAAAAGAATGGATTGTATTAGGAGGTAATACAGACTAATTCTATATAAGTGGATAAAATACAAGATTAAATTTGAGACAAAAATATTACGAATTGTAATCCAGTGTTTGGTAAGACAATGAATAAAAAATAGAATAACAGAGTAACAATTATTGACTAAAAAATGATCAATTTTATTTAATTATTAATATATTTGTTTATCTGTTGAGTAAAATAATAAATTTATAATTTAATATGTTTGAATTTGACTATAATACCACCTGGAGAGATGGTATTAAAACCAGTTCAGTAGTACAAATAAAGTGTATTATTTGAATAAATATTTGAACTAAAATTATATATAATACAGAGATTTGTTTTGCAACCAAATGTAATAGAAGGTTGGATTTGAGAGTTTTAATCCGTTATCACTGTGCAATCCACCATTTAATACTTGAGTGTATAAATTAAAATTTTCTAAATTTTTTAAGGACAAAAGTACAATTTACCCTAAAAGATTAAAAAATTTCAAATCTTATGAGAGGCATATGGGATAAGACCAATCCCCATGCAAGGAGCATAATAAAATATTATTATTTAGTGACGGCATCCGACCACCATTACCTCAATTTAAAGCTAACGTTGGTTTTTTAGTGATTTCGACGAAGTACAAGGTTATATTGTTAAAGTACCATGATAATTCACTGCAATTACTTTTTCTGTAATTTAAAATGATGAAAAATTGTCAGCTCTACGGTTCTTCTACCCACCCTCACCTATTCTAACAATTTTTTGTTGTTGTTGTTATTGTTGTTGCTGCTTCTTCAAATCTCCCCTTTACTTTGTACTGAGTCTACTGACTCTGCTGAAAGCATATCAAACTATAGAAAAACCCCAAAAATTTCTGAGAAATTTTTATTGTTATAGTGAAGAGGCAGCCATAATCGATAACAGAGCCATTTCAGAGACTCCATAGTTCCATTTTGTTGAGAGATCGAGACAGCCCCATTTCGTGTCAACAGTCTCTCAATATACAGAGATAAAGTCTGCATTCTCTCTCTCTCTTTCTTTCTCTCTCTCTCTGGGTATATACATTTATATAATGCGGAGCCCGCGGTTTTTCTGGGTGGAGGACCCGATCGGAAAATCGCCGGCGATTTGATGGAAAGGTTTCAAATTTTAGTGTTGAAGGTATTTTTTCATGGAGTTGAGGATTCGGTGTAGTCGATGTACCGCTGTTGCTTCGAAACCCAGGTTTTGGACTAAGCTTCGACTGTCCTTCGTTGTTCTCGAGGTAAGCTCTTAAGATTTAGGGTTTGGTTTAATTTTTTTTTTTTTTTGGGAACTTTTTTGGGAAATGGTAGCAGAAAATAAGAAGCTAGGAATGTTGAGCCTTAGAGGATGTGTGGTCCCTGAGAAATTGTTGGAAACGAAAGAGGAAATTTTCAAGTACTACGACTGACACTCTTTAAGTTTCAAAGAGTTCCCAAAATCTTAGATTTTCTTCATTACTATCGAATGGGGGTTTATGTTTGATATAAATTTAGGGTCAGAAAAGCTTGAAATTGTTGAGGAGATAACTGTCCCTTTGTGATCTCAGATATTTTTGGTAATTTCCTTTTTGGTTCGCTCCTTTTATTACTATTTTCACTGTCATCGAGTTTTTTTTTTTTGTTTTTTCTCTGTTTTCGTTGTTCTTTAATCTGAAAGCTCCTAGAACTGTCGGGTCGAAACAATTTTAGGTTTACCATCCAGTAATTTGTTGATTTTTCTCTGGTTTCTATTCAGTTCAAGTAATCTGATGGGGTTCAAAGATTGCTTCTTTGATCTGGTATGAATGACTATGGCTTGTTTGGTTTGTTTGTTTGTTTGATCTGGTATGAACTACCATGTTTGCTTTTGGAGAATTTTTACTCTTAGCAAAAATTGGAATTTGAGTTGGGTCTTCTTGTTTGCTTTTATTGAAACATCCTGGTGATACCAGGAAAAGACTATATTTATAATTACTAATTTACTATGCAATATCATTAATCTGTTTCTTTTACCCTCCTTTTCAGATATTATTTGTATTGGTATGGTTACAAGCTGCTTATGCAACATCCCCAGATCACAAATTGCAGTGGCAAGTCTTGGAAAAGGATGGAGAAAACATTCTATCACATTCTTGTATACATGACCAGATACTAGAACAGAGAAAGCGACCTGGTCGCAAGGTGTTTTCTGTTACTCCGCAGGTTTATAAGGAGTCTGATCTTTCAAAACCCCTTCACCACAAGGGAAGGGCATTGCTTGGAATTGGCGAATTTCCAAATCTGCAAAAAGATGTGAAGCAACCAATTAGAATTTACTTAAATTATGATGCTGTTGGTCACTCGCCTGATAGAGACTGTCGAAACATTGGTGACATTGTTAAGGTGACTGTTATGAACAGCTTCATGAATTTTGGCTTGTGCTAGGGTCATGACTGTGGAACTAATATTTAGTTCCTTTTGTTTTTTAAACCAGCTGGGGGAACCTCCTGGTGCTTCTTTTTCGGGCACGCCTTCTTGCAATCCGCATGGTGATCCTCCAGTTTTTGGTGACTGCTGGTATAACTGCACCTCGGATGATATAGCTGAGGAGGACAAAAGGCATCGGCTTCGCAAGGTATTACTCCCTAATTCATTTTCTCACTGAGGCCGTGTTCCTAAATATTAGAGTATCTCGCTTGATACGCCCAAATGAGCTAATTACTTGGTATACGCCAACATTATGAAACAATTTTTTTTGTTGTAAAGTTAGGTCAAACTGACACAAACCATTAGCATCCATAGTTATCTAATATCTATTGTGTTAGTCTCTGAGCTTATATCTTACTTAACGCCTCAACAAACAACTTATATTTTTTTTTTTTGGAATGTTACCCCACCCTTTGAGCCTTTTGATTAAAAAAGGCAGCCCACCGGAAGAAGTTGTGCCATCGTGGAGTCTTGGGAGGGTTGATGTAGGCAATCTTACTAATTCATTGGATAACTTAATACAGGCTCTTGGGCATACAGCCGACTGGTTCAGAAGAGCATTAGCTGTTGAGCCTGTAAGAGGGAACCTGCGTCTGAGTGGATATTCTGCATGTGGACAAGATGGAGGTGTACAGCTTCCACGAGAATATGTAGAAGGTACCTTTGCTGCAAGAGAAGTGTGTCAATCACTTAAAGTTGATTTCCCGGTTGCCGTTCTAGTAATTACCGTTGCTTTTTTATTATGTTTATGCTAAAAAACGCATCCATTACTTCTCCTTTCAGAGGGTGTTTCTGATGCGGACTTAGTTCTTTTGGTGACTACGAGACCTACAACTGGGAATACTCTAGCATGGGCAGTGGCATGTGAACGTGATCAATGGGGTCGTGCAATTGCTGGTAAATTCTTTTCATGAAGCAATGCTTTTTAGGGAGCATTATTGTACTGTTACTACTGTACAATGTGAGAGAGCCAAAGTCAATCAACTAATTTTATTTTTGTTTGTTGCAGGACATGTGAATGTTGCTCCTCGCCACTTGACTGCTGAGGCAGAAACCTTACTTTCAGCTACTCTCATACATGAAGTGAGTTGGCTTAATAATGTAACCAATAGAAGTATAACATCTTCTTTTGATCCTGTGATTAACATGTATGGGCTGGCTTAGGTGATGCATGTTCTTGGATTTGATCCCCATGCCTTCTCTCATTTTCGAGATGAGAAGAAAAGGCGGCGTAGTCAGGTAAGAACTATTACATCATACATTATTCACAATCAGAGCAATGACATTAAAACCTTCTGTCTGTATCAAACAATAGTATTTTCCTTTTCTCCTCCCTTGTTCCAAAAATGTTACTAAATCTAAGGGTCAGTAATACGCAAAAATCGACCAGTCCATATGTGTACATATTTTCCAAAAATGAAAATAAGGAATTGAGTCATCTTTGAACACACCTTGCGTTTTGAAGTATAAGTACTCCTTGAATATCTTTATAGGCCTAGATGATTTGCAGGAAATACTGACCTCTGAAGTGTGATTGTTTTTGAATATTTTCTTGACGAGATGATTACTTGAGGAAATGCCAAGTTGAAACTTGAAAGTTCTATTGGCTGATTTTTCTGTTTAACAAATGTGTTTATGTTCACCCATATAATTCCGAAATTGGCTTCACCATATAAGCCAATTTTACAGGATATCTTGATGGTAAAATTTTTGAATTTTCTGCTTAAGAATCCCAAAAAAAAAAAAAATGTTAAATGTTGCTGCACATTTTCAGCCTGGAGTGACAATTTCCTATGCATGTCATGCACATAAATTGATCTTTATCTAAACTAATATTGGACCTTTGTTGTCATTGTCATTCTTGTTGGTAGGTTACTGAACAAGTCATGGATGAGAAGCTTGGACGGATTGTGACACGCGTGGTGCTTCCCCGTGTTGTGATGCATTCACGCCATCATTATGGGGTACTTGATTTTGAAAATTTTGGGATTTTTTCTTTCATGAAACAGTGCATGCATCTCCTAAACTCTTCAAGATCTTTTGCGTCTTTTCTTTTGTCAAACCATGAGAGCCTGAAAAGCTAACACAAACTTGATACTTTTTTAAATGGCAGGCATTCTCTGAGAATTTCACGGGTTTAGAGCTAGAAGATGGTGGTGGCAGGGGCACATCAGGTTATTCAACATGTTCTTTTTCCTCAAACCTTCTTTTTGCCATTAATTTTTTCTGTACAGCAGCTGCTCAACATCATCACAAGAGTGGCAGACATTTCATGCAAAGTGTCTTGTGGTGTATTCAAAAGAGTTGCACCATATTATGCAATGTCATACATTGTAGATGGGAATATCTTGAGCATTGTTATGTGTCACTAATTGAAAGTCATAATTATTTAGTACTTACTCTTTAATGTCATGAAATTGAGTATAAAAGTACATCAGGCATAGCAGTCTCTGATCATCTCAACGTTGATAACTTGCTGCAGGATCCCACTGGGAAAAAAGGCTTCTAATGAATGAGATCATGACAGGCTCAGTGGATACAAGATCAGTAGTTTCAAAAATGACCCTGGCTTTACTAGAGGATAGTGGGTGGTATGCGGCTAATTATAGTGTGGCAGACGCTCTTGACTGGGGCCGCAACCAGGGAACTGACTTTGTTACCTTCCCTTGCAATCTCTGGAAGGGGGCGTATCATTGCAACACCACACAGTCATCTGGCTGTACATATAACAGAGAGGCAGAGGGTTACTGCCCTATTTTAAATTATAGCGGGGACCTTCCTCAGTGGGCCCGTTATTTTCCACAGGCTAACAAAGGTGTGTTCCTAGAATTTTGATTTTCCACTCTCTTTCTGATATATGTATGTCTGCTTGTCCACCTCTATCTATTTTTACGTTTTTTGTGCCCATTTTAACAATTATTAATCCCATGACCACACATTTGGAAAAATTGAGGTGCGATCCAAAATTTTAAATTGTTCTAGTTATGAGCTCGAGATTGTAAAACATTTTTGGTCTGCAAGTGTTAACGGACTTTGGCATTTTGCTAACTGTTGGACCAGACGACCAAGGTTGGATCTTTCCTTCATATTATTACTCTATTGTTTGGTGATTTTCAGAAATATCCAACACTCCAGTTACTTTTCTGATGATCGCAATTTCAATTGTGAAATATTTGACAATCTTCCTTGTTAAAGTTCTATTGATTCATTAAAGGCCTCTCAGGGTAGATTAGAGTGAGATCTGATTTTGAATTTTTGAGCTTTTTCGTATCTGCTCAAAATTTTATTAGTTTAATTTGTCGTATGGCCTCTAAGTTGTCCTGTTAGCTGGAAAATCTTATTGTATCCTAGGTTTTGTCCCGAACTCTGTGCAAGTCTTAAGATTTGATTTGTAGGTATTATCATAGATTTAGATAGACTTGTATTACTATTTACGTGTATACTGATAATCGTTATTATTGTAGAAGTACCATCATTATGTAGTGAAGGTTTTCGATGTGGGTCACAAAAAAGGAGGTTTATTGACTGCTATTCTTTGGCCATTGCAGGTGGACAGTCGTCATTGGCTGATTATTGCACTTATTTTGTAGCTTATTCTGATGGATCATGTACAGACACTAACAGTGCACGGGCACCTGACAGGATGTTGGGTGAAGTGCGAGGACATAGTTCAAGGTGAGAATTTCTCATAATCTTTTGGAGATTCAGAACTTGGTTTTCGATTGTGAATGTTTTATCTTTTCATCCCTATGAATAGGTGTATGGCCTCATCATTAGTACGTTCGGGATTTGTACGGGGTTCAATGACCCAGGGAAATGGTTGTTATCAGCACAAGTGTGTAAACAACTCGCTAGAGGTATAATCTGTAACTTCTTGTGCTTCTCGGTTACTTGAATGCTGTAATTAAACTTATGGACATGGATGCGACCTTGGTTGGCTTAAGGCACATGTGCCTGTGTGAGCTCAACTGTCTAAACTGGAAATCTCTTAAAAAGAAAAAGAAAAAATTGAACTGAACCATTAGGATTTGCAAAAACTAGGATGACATCAAGGAGGCATTGTACCCAGCATAATGCGTACTCCTTTTGCTTAAAAGGTTGCAAGCTGTACTATATATGTATCATGTGTAGGCCTTGAAATTGCTATCTTTCTGGCGGTTTGGAAGAGAGCAAATTTTGTGGAAGTGAGATTAGTTGTCTATTAATTATGTCCATGCTAGAAATATTTGGTCTCCCTTTTTACGTTTTTGAAGAAAACAAAAGGTTCCTGGCTTGCCCTTGGTGCTGATAAAATCATCTCTACAATAGAGAATCAAATTGCTAGCTAGACACACAACCATGATAGATTATGAAAATTTCCGCCCATCATGATCAAGCAGGCTGCAGCTTTATGCATCTACAATGACAAGTAGTTTAAGGGCCCACATCTAAGTTTTTTTTAGTTTTTTGCTTTTTGGAAAATGAGAAACATTGTTGTAAAGTTTTGTTTGTACCCAGTCCCTCCCATGCAGCGCCCACAATTAATGGGACCAAATTGGGTACATGATCCTTTGATTATTGGCTTGCACACATGGGGAGGTGGATAGTAAGAGACTCGAACTCCAACCGACCAGAAGTTGTGGATGGCACTTGTGCCATTGGACCCTTTCTTATCTTCCTTATATTTGAACTTTATGATGCCCCTTTTTGCGGTACTCTTCCCTCCATTGTAATTGTGAACATGTCTTTTTTAGGTTGCTGTGGATGGTATTTGGAAAATATGTCCTGAAGCTGGTGGACCCATTCAGTTTCCTGGCTTCAATGGTAACTATGTAGTTTTATCTGGCTTTATTGAGGTATGCTATCTATTTATATGTTTTTCCAATCTCAACTTTTTTGTTCATTTTCTTTTTGTTCAAATCGTAGGTGAGCTGATCTGCCCAGCTTATCATGAACTCTGCAATGTAGACCCAGTTGCTGTTTCTGGGCAATGCCCCAACTCGTGTAATTTGAATGGAGACTGCATTGATGGAAAATGTCACTGCTTTTTAGGCTTTAATGGTTATGATTGTAGCAAACGTGAGCTCCTCAACCCTTTTTCCCTACTCTGCCGTCTGTCAGATTATATTGCTCCTGCTTGAGATTGTTTGTTTGGTTTTCTCTCCTGAGGATCTTGATGAATGATCTATTTACAGGCTCGTGTCCTAGCAATTGTAGTGGGCATGGAAAGTGCCTTCATAATGGTCTATGTGAATGTGAAAACAGATACACTGGCATTGATTGCTCAACAGGTAATGTCATAGTTTCTAAAACTTGTCATCGGGCTGTATAGTTAGCCCCTTAAAATTGTGTTTGTGAAAAAGGTGGTTCCATAGCTGACATATTGTACCAGTCTGACGATGCTATAGTCTGATGTGTGGCTAAACATTCAGCATGATTCATTAAAGCATGGTGGGGTCCAGGGTGACCAATATACGCTGGCACTTTTGCTTTGTGAAAAATTGACTAGCCTGAGTGCATTACTGTAGTTAACTAGTTTATTTCTCTTGACACGCAAAAGAATAATGCAATTTTCTGTTTCATGCAACATTACCCTTGGGCATGATATGCAGCTATTTGTGACGAACAGTGCAGCCTCCACGGAGGGGTCTGTGATAATGGCGTCTGTGAGTTTCGTTGCTCTGACTATGCTGGTTACACATGCCAAAACAGCACCATGCTCCTTTCCAGTCTTTCTGTTTGCCGAGATGTTCTAGAAAGAGATGCATTGGGGCAACATTGTGCACCCAGTGAATTGAGTATATTGCAGCAGCTAGAAGATGTTGTTGTCATGCCAAACTACCATCGATTGTTCCCTGGTGGTCCACGGAAGTTTCTTAATTATATTAGGGGTCGAAACTGTGATGGAGCTGCTAAGCGGCTAGCCTGCTGGGTAAGTTGCTTCTTCTTTATGCTCTTCGCTTTTCGATACTAGGATGTCCTTTGAAGGGTCAAAAATTATAATCCCAAGCTTCGATCTTAATTGCATAACTAGTAAAACTTAAGCATTACCTGGCTTCACTCCTTTAGAATCACAAATGGTAAAAGTATGCTCGTTGTAGTTGGAGTGACATAACTCCTTAAAACTCTACCAAAGAAACAACCTTACAGTGACTTTGCCATTAATATAAAAATTAACTGGGTTATCAAATCTTTGGAGTATGTTGAGCAGTTAATACGTAATAGTTGGATTCTGATGTTGACTGGGTTGACCAAACCTAAGTAAAACATACTCGAGCATGATATTTGAACTCAAACAAAATTTAGCGTTGCTTGATCTTAGCTAAAGTTTAACCTCGCCAAGGCTGCATTGCACCCTTGGTTTACCCTGTTGTTCTGATAATTCTGTGGGTTTGTTGAAAAATGGAATAATTTGATGTTTGCATGCATATATTGTAGCACAGCACTTGCATTGTCATTCCCTTGTTTGTGATATGTTTTTCGAGTATTAAATTCATTATTTTCGTTGATTTGCTTGAACCAGATTTCTATCCAAAAGTGCGACAAGGATGGTGACAACAGGCTACGGGTGTGTCATTCAGCATGCCAATCCTATAATTTAGCATGTGGAGCAACGCTCGACTGCTCTGACCAAACACTCTTTAGCAATGAGGATGAAGGTGAGGGTCTCTGCACAGGCTGGGGTGATGAGATGGATTCGTGGTTTTAACGGCATTCGAAGCAGCAGCAGCAGCATATTCTAGTTACAATTCCTAAAAAGGGAATTCGTGTAAAATTGTAGGCAGCTTAAGGCCCATCCTTGTTTTTCTTTTGGTTTTGTATTTCTAGGTCTTCTTAGAAGGTAGAAAAATGTGCACGAGTTGCAGGGTGCATCATGTTAGATTCTTTTTTCCTTCCCCCCGTCCAAAAGTTATTTAAAAAAGATTGGGCGGGGATTTTTATCGATTGGCTTTCGAAGATGAAAGTCTAGATGTAGAGAGAGAGAGAGAGAGAGAGAGAGAGAGAGAGAGAGAGAATGTGTGAAATTGGGTTAAAAAAGGTGAAAAAAGTAAAGGAAGAAGAAAAGGGTTTGTTGAGATGAGTGAGCAAGGAGGATTCGGCCAAAGGCCCTGAAAGAAAAGCAGCTTCTTTCCATTATGATCTGTCTTTGTTCATATTTTTCTTTGTCCACTACTACTTTTGAGTCTTTGAATGAAGTACATGGTAGTGAGCAGAGACATTGATGACAAATATAAATTCATCTTCTTGCTGCATCTTTAGGAGTTTTAAATATTGTTGATCTAGATGAAGCAGCTGACGACGTCGGGACTGCACTCCGAGGTTAACGAAAATCGGGGTTTTTAAATTCTGCCCCAATGATTCTGGTTGTATATGAATTCTACGACAAATGAGGTGATAGAATAGAATCCATTTTACCAGAAGATTTGTAGGAACTCTTCGTTTCTTAAATCTACAGAAAAAATAATAGGTTTAAAGGTACATAGTGTTGCAACCTACGACTCCTTGTGAAGGCTGTTGCTTGACTTTTGATTTTTCAGCTTAAATCAGTATAAAGATGACTCTTCCTGTCTTCCAAACCCCGTCCCTCCCAACCCAAAAGCAAAAAAAGTAAAGCCCACTATCATACCAAGAGAGCAGTCATTGTGTGTGAACCTCTTTATGAATAAAAAAACGGGTTGAAAACCAAGGTTGGGAAAGCAGCTTTGCATAATTTCACTTTTTTTTTTTTTTTTTTCACTGGCTCAAGGTGTCTGACTTAATTTGCGCGTATCTTGACCGATTCTACCTTTAATCAACTTAAAGGAAAATCATCCACACTGAGACTAAAGTATTCACGAAGAATAAATTTCTCATTGTCTGATCTCAAAAAATTGTCAAAATTTAAATTTAAAATGTCTAAGTTTACAATTCATTCAATAAAGCGAGTATAGTAAACTAATGATTAGTTCCATCTGAAGGGACGATTTTTGTTAGACCCACAAAAGCTACTTCAAAACTTCTCTTGTGCTTGTTGAATTGAAATATAAATTTTTTTCAAGTGTTACTCGAGCAAATTTAGATATATGTTATTTGTTCATTTGTACTTTAGATCAATAGGATGCCATTTTCAACTCATGCATTTATTTTCCAATCATTTGTCAAAACAATGCAATAGGGAGTGCGATCCCTACAATACATTTTTTCTCCATTTTTTTGATAGGGTGTAGGACCCCCTTCAATACATTGTTTCTCCATTTTCCTTCTCGGGAAATCACCAAGTAAGACCCATTGTTTTTAAGTAAATTTCTCACTGATTAATGGTAGATTTGCCAAGAAAAAAAATTAGGAAAAACATATTGGGGAGAATCTTGGTCCATGGCAGCAGCCGACAGTTCAGCTTGTGCAATAAAAATTCGGGAAAATTTCATCCAGATCTTCTCTAGTTAGGTCTAAATTCAATGACATCTCCTTTCAATTCTAAAATTTCACTGGCAACTCTGTTTGATTTACAAAAATAACCCGGAGTATTTTATACGTAATTTATATGTATACCTATTGAACCTATACTACTATGGTTTGGTTTAGTTAACCCCACCTATTTATTAAACATTACCTAACCCATGTTGTCTCTGGGCATTCCCATGGTTCAATCGTCTGTTGCACGAAGAGAGAAAAAGAGGGGGGAGGGAAGAAAATTGGTGTAGGCTTGGAAGACTTTTGCGTTTCTAAACATCGAATGGTTTGAAGAGTGAGCATCGAAGATTCTCTGGTTTTTACTGAATAAATTTGGGTCATTTTACGTTTTTTTTTGTATTTAGGGCTTTTTTGTATGTATCAAAGATTCAACTGATTTTTTCAGATGCTCTGAATTTGCCAATTGCTGTACAACTGGTTCCCCTACAAGATTGAAGACTGCTGCTTGTTTTTCTCCAGAAGAGGATACTGATGTATGAAGATAAAGGTTGATGACTGGTGAGCTGATTTCGACTGTCTTCAGTTTTGAGCATTGGAGGCTTGTTTGTGATTCTAAAGGAGACTTGTTTTTCATTTTTTTTGGGAGTAATGCTACATAGACTTAAAAACTAGATTTGATAGATTTCACTGTGGGTCCCAGTATTTATTAAAACCTACTACCTATTCAATGGTTAAGATTATCAAGTCTAATTTTTAAGTCTATCTAATATTTACTCTATTTTTTTTTTTTGTATTTTGAAAGATTAAAGCCTTCAAACAAGATGGCTTTCCTCTCTCTTTTTCTAGGATCTATGTATCCCTCTGCAGGCAAAGTTGTTGTTGCTGAACAGCAAGGATCAAGGTCCTCAGAAGGAAAATTATCTTTTTTTGATTCTTTGTAATGTGAACGGAATAATTTGCTTCTTGTAATTTTTTTTTTTAGAAAAAAGAAATAAATTTTGATTTCTGTAAAAAAAAATGTCAATGAATATTTAATTTTGGCTCTTGCATTCGGTTGTCATATTTTTTTGTTAATTAATTTCAGTACATGGCTATGGTGAATGAAATTATAAGAGATGTTAGTGTGAGCTAATTTAATCAATAGACCAACATGATTAAGAGTATCAGAACCAACAAAGTGAGGACCCCATTCAATCAAGGCCTTAACATGCTTTAGGGCTTCTTCGTTTTTACCCCTATTGCCTGCAATCAGAAGAACTATGAGACCTAATTCTCATACCAAATATAATTAAACAAGCACCTGATAGTCAAAAATTACCCCAAAAAATTAGAATTTTGATCCAACTACAACCACCACCAAGAAAAAAAAGACAGATGTTGTACTCTGAAAGAAGGAAAGCATATGGGTTTGGAGATAGAAAAAGGGGTGGGAATGGTTGGCAGATGCAGATCTGGATCCCTTGGTGAGCCAGATCTCTTCTTCGTTCGGTCCAGAGAGAGAGAGACTTAGATGCTTACCTCCGAACAGCTTCTCTTTCGCCTTCATCGTCGTCGCCTTCACAGGAGCTCTCAACCTAGAAGAATGGCTTGAAACAAGAGTGAGAAGAGATTCCTGGAACATTATTCGAGAAGGGAGAAGGATAAATATGTCATTACCCGAGGAAGGGTAGTTTTGATGTTTTTAAAAAATTTAAAGGTAAACCGTTACTTTTTTGCACCGGCACTGTTAAGGAAGTGTCTTTGATTGAAAGTATAAACCAGAAAAGATTGCAGTGAAATTTCAAAATCGGAAAGAGGTGTCATTAAATTTAAACCTAACTAGAGGGCGTGTGGATAAATTTTTCCCTAAAAATTCTATATATAGCAATGGATCTACCCTACTCAAAACTCAAAAGAAGGGGGATGGGAGTTGCTAAGTAAGTAGTTCAAAGGATCAAACCCAAATCTTAAGACTTGGTAAGAGATGAGCCTTGCCTCTACAGAGGCCTCTTAAGAGGCTTGAACCCTCAACCTGCCTGTCGGGAAGCAAATGGGCACCCTCACAGACTATGCCCGTGGTGATTATCATGAAACAGTTGGTTACCAATAAAGTAGTGATGAGATACTAAACACACACACACACACCAAAAAAAAAAAAGCAAAGATAAGGGAATATTTTGATGAACGAACTGCGCCTGTTACAAATTAAGACGCAACATTAAGTTCCTGACAGGCACTCATTGCAACAAGAGCAGATTCAAAGATGCAGTAATATAGGTCACGACCAAGAATTCATCATTGTCAAAAATCTGTCCAACAAGCCTTCTTGGCTTACTTTTTTCTCTTTCTCTTTTGCTATGCAATTTTCTTTTTGCACAACATAGCCTTAACATAATCTAAAACCGGAAATGGCCGGATATTAAAGTAAGTAGCAGAAGCAAGGTATGCACAAGCTAAAGCTAAGTATAGCTTAAACCAAAAAGAGAAAAAGGTAAGAACTGTAAATACACCGGTCAAAGTAACTACTATTGCAAAATTTACCAAGCATTTGACTGTTGACAGTTCTCCTTCTGTACCTTGATTAGGGAAATGACCTTTAGCATTGAACTCTGAGAGCAACTGATCCTTGTACCGAAATGTGTCAATCAACCAAGCAGAAGCCCCTCCTTCAGATACCGGGATCTCATCAACAGGGATGCGTCGAACATGAATGTGAACTTCTGCAGGATCCACACCACAAGCATTGTCCAAGAAAGAAGGACATCTATACTGGTATGCGATAGTCATGTCATAAACTGCAGTACAATGAAATGAAACACGTAAAGAACTAATTTGAGAGCTGAAATGCAATGCAAAAGATCTTTTGTGCGCCAATTTCCATAGTGTAGCAGTATATGGCATGTCAGGCACGACTTCATATCACAAAGACCCAATAGTAACTTATCAAAAACATATGTAGAATCAAAGTGATACAATTCGTATACTGAGGTTGCTCTGAACAATCCACCAAAATTACAACATTCCATCCTCCTTCCCACACCCCCCCCCAAACACAAAAAGATAAAAACCTGAGGACCTATGATGCCTGTAGATAAAGTGATCAGTGAAATTGTAGAGAAGCACTACAAGGCATCAATGTGAAAAAGCAAAGATCAAGCAAAAAACTGATGCACATTTCAAAAAAGTAATAAGATTCTTTGAGGACCACAAATGTAGAGGAATTATTTAATGTGGATAGCTAGGCATCAATCAAATAGGGACTATACAGCAGACTCTTTGTCATTAGGTGCACTAGATATCTCACGATTAGAAGTATGCTTTCGTCCGACAAGACAAAGAAAGAAAAACAATAAGAGCATGGCAGGTTGATTAACTCACTAGTCATTTTCCGAATATGAAAAAATATCTCCATCCTCACTAGCAATGAAGTATAGAGCTTTACCCCATAAAGAGAATATCAGGTGGCAAACATAATTCTCAACTCAACAAAGCTTTGTCCCAAAGTTTTTGGGGTCGGCTATATGAATCATGTTTTGCCATTGAGCTCTCTCAAGGGCAATGTTTTCAGGTGGCAAACATAATTCCACTTTCCAAAAAAAAAAAGATACACCTAATGGGAAGAAATATAAGATGTTCGTAACATTTATTTAGATGCTATGACCTGCATCCAAAGAGCCTCTCAAAATTTCCAGGCAAGCATAAAACCCCCTAGTTTTAGGAAGCAGCACATTCTTCAGTACAGGTAATCCATTCTCAACTGCAAACTTTTGACTCCTTTTGCACTTTTCTTCACTGCACGCAGAGGCTTAAAAAATTTAGATTAGGTAGGAGTGAAATGTAATATAGATGCACAGGTCTTACAGATGAGTAATTGGAGAGTTCAAAACATGTTCTGGAGGAATACCAGATGAATTTAGATATCACCAGAAGAACACCCACAAATGTCATCAACCAATGTTGTAGAAGACATCTAAAAAAAGTGAATAAGAAAGTTCAAATTACGGAAGATATAAGGAATAATACGATCTTACGTAAAATCAGTTCCTTCGGGGAATACAGCAAGCCACAGTGGATCCTGAGGACTGGTAAAGGTTGAAAGCATTTGACGCATGACTGGTTCATCAATTTCCCACTTCCTCTCCACTGAGATGAACTCTAATATATGAAATCCCCAACCGAAAACAGGTAATTTCATCAGACTGCTCTTGAGGACATATCTGATGCAACCCAAGCACCCCTTCCGCAACGCAAGATTCCACAGATACATCCAATCAACCTCAGTTCTGTGGTTGGCAATAAGTAAAACACGTTCCCTTGCTGGTACAGTTTCTCCAGAAAAAATCACCTTTGTTTTGTTGATCTTTTCAAATAAGAAGGGCCATAAAGATAGCCAAAGACCAAACAGAAAGTATACTACTTTTCTGCTATGATGTATGCTTAAAAGGCGCAACATTACAGCAGCCAGAGGTCCAAAATACACTAAGAATGTAAATGCAGTGGAGAGAAGAATCACTAAACATATTACACCCCTAAAAACCCTAAGAGGAGTCAGAGGGACTCGCTTTAATCCAGTAGTAGTGCTGAAGGCCTGGCAATCTTCCATTTTGTTTCAGAAACTGTTCAGCCTTCAAACCTCCCTTCTAATCACAGCTGCAGCATCTATGCAATATAATTCCCCTGAAAGTTACTTAAGATGTTCCCATTACTTTAGAAGGACGAGAAGAAAACAGCGGAAAAAAAGAAAAGAAAAAGAAGACCCCTGGCGTAATGGCAATGCTCCCCCTTGCAGAGTCAACAAAAGATGCAGCAAGATTGAAATGATAGTGCACGTATTTTATTATGAGTATGTAATGGAACATAATTATCCTCTACAACAGCTTTAACATATACGCCTAATTCTTTGTCTGGCAAAAAAAAATAACTGCAGAAGAATTCAATCATGTAGACTAGACCTGATAATTACATCCCTTTGGAACATCCAAAAAAAAAAAAAAATGGAATAAATACAAGAATTAAAACTTCTAACTCCAACCTCACAATTAGGTGTATGGTGTATGGCATTAGAAGGAGAAACTCCTATGCTCAATTCATCTATTATCTTTTACTATACATTGTGAGAGAATAAGGGTTTCTCTTCTAGTTATGTATGTTCCTCTCAACCCTCCACTCTAACTTAAGATTCTCACTTTTACTATACATTGTGGGAGAATAAGGGTTTGTCTTCTAGGAATGTTCCTCTCTCAACCCTCCACGCTAACTTAAGATTCTCACTGCCGACTATCTCCCTCACACACACACACTTAACAACCCATCTTAAGTGTTTCTCTTCCCCTTCCTCTTTCCTCTTCACATTTTTTTACAAGGGAAAAATTGAACCTTCAGATGCAAAAACTTTCAAGACTTAAAATAGTGAACTATATTTTGCACAGTTGCACAGGCTACCATGTTTTCTCTATATCAGGACACAATTAAACCATTGCAGTTGCCAAAATACAGCTATTAAGAAACAAGGCATAAAATCTCCGTGTGAATACTAGGAAACCGTGAAAAGAGATACGAAAAAATCGCTTCGGATCCTGAAAGATTCAATTCAATCTCAACCGACAACAAAAAAACAAATCTAAGGTGAATTTTCTCACAAACTGTAGATAAGATTCATCAACGAATTTAATCGAAGCGACTACCCGTATACTAGCACTTACAGGCAACACACAGAGAGAGAGAGAGAGAGAGAGAGAGAGAGAGAGAGAGAGAGAGAGAGAGAGTAGCGTACCTCTTAGCCCTAGGAGAATCGCGAGGTGGTCGGCATTGAATCTGTCTATTTCCAAGGTAGAGGAAGAGAGAGATATATATAGAGGCAAAATAGAACAGGGGTTGTTTGTGAGGTGCGAGAGATAAGATGTAAAATCCATGAGAGCTGTGATCCCATGTGGCCATCCCTAGTGTTCTTGAGAAATTTCATTGGGTTTTACGATAGTTTGTCAAAGATGAGGAGCTAATAGTTTGACCATTCGTCTGTATTGCGGTCACTTCGGACCAATGAGAATGGACCACTAACAGCTGGTATGGGCTGATTGGATAATTGACTCAAGTTTATTTTTGTTATCCAATGACTGGATTGATTATATGATATAACAATGGGCCCCACTTTTACCGACTTCAAAGCCAAGTTATTTTGGATTAGATGGACCTTCCCCGCATGGTTTATTCTTGGATTGAACATTTGGAGTCCCCCCTCCCTTGTAATGATATTGGGTATATTTTTCTCTCTTTTTTTTTTTAATCTCACTAGATTTAATGGTGAATGATTATGTTTAATTAATAAAGTTTAAATTTCATTCTAATAAATCCATGAGCAAGACACCTAGACTAGATGTTGGATATCATTGATGAACAAGATCTCAATTCCAAAGTGTCATTGGGAGATTGAAGTATCAAAAAATGTTGCTTTCTCCCGTCCTAGGGCTAGCTACCTAAAAGAATAATTGGCGAAGAATCGTTAAAGTCAACTAATTCATTTTATTTAAACGGTTGTCCCTTATTTTGGTGAGTTCAATTTTGTTGCAACTATAAATGTCATCTAGTCACATATACCACTTGTCTTTTTTTTTTTCCAGCAAACAAGAAGACCGAGAAGAAGATGATTGAAATCTCACATGTGACAGTTGTTGGAATAAACTTCGTATCCTTTATTTATAAAAAAAAAAAAAATTTAAAAGGAATTGGTTATGAAAATAAACAAATTATGATTCTTTTTATTTTTTTTGGGAGGGGAGGGAGGAGGGGAGACCTGAATCATTGACATCAATAATACAAAACTTTCATAAGATAAAGAGTACTATTGGACTAAAGGTCATTGATATTCTCATCCTATTATGACAATATAACTGAATCAATTGGTTAAGAGTGACAATTTTCATGAAAGATAAATATTTATTTTTTACATTAATTTTATTAGGGTTCTATTATTCTGTTTGTTTCTTTTATTTATTTCTTATGTCCTCTTTTTTAGGATCACTTGGTAATTCGTGTCCGAAGTTAGAGTATAATGTGAATGAAATGAGTCTATTTGTGAATGTTAAATAAATTTATGGAAACTTGTCTTGTTATATTTCTTTTATATGCCCATTTACAATATTTTCAAATCCTCCACCGTTTCCAAACGGTACAAATGAGAATTTTCGGAGCTTGGCGGGTCTCTGGATTCTCGGATCAAGCTTGTCATCCAACATTTCAACTATCCATCGCGTCAATGTCGCGCCAGCTGGACAACATGGCCTTGTTTCCAAACACTTATTAACGTCCTCACGTTTTTTCTCCGCGTTTCCATTGGCGATTTCTCTGAGAGTAATTTGTTCCCAATTGGACAGACTTCTTTACCTTCTGATTTTCACTCCTGGATCGATCGATCCGTCGGGGGTCGGTCGGTCGCTCAATCTTTTCTCGTCCAAAGGTCAGTCATTTCTCTCTCTTACACACACAAAAACACACACTGATTATTCTTTCCTGCAGATCTGTTTTGTTATTGCTTTGGGCATTTGATTCCCCCCCCCCCTTTAATTACGTCCTTACTGCATTTGATCTTGGACTTTTCGTTGTTGGATTGTGTCGGTTTGACGGTATTTTGTTAATTTCATTAAGAGTGGTCAGGAATGTTGGTGGGGTTGCAGCCGTTATTCACCCATAAATGTATATGATAGATTGGATTTAGACGTTAGGATTTAATATTTTGATTGGTTTAACTAGATGGAATTGTTTAATTCATATTTCTTTTTTGAAGTTTTATTTTATATTCTATGATTAGTGAATAGGTCTTTTTTTTTGGGTTTGGAATTCAGTGAAAAGGGCATGTTGAAAATTGATATCTTGGTGTTTGTAGTTATGAATAGTGATTAATTTTAATTCTGGGAACTTTGTGTAGTTCATGTGTGTGGATTTAATGTAGGGTTTATTGGTTTATTTCCTTTATCAGTTGATATTTGGGATTGAGAGAATGTCAAGTGGATTTGGGGAATCTACAAGCAGGCCACCCCAAAGCCCTTCTTGCTCGAACAATAATAACAACTGCAGTGATGCTGGTAATTTTGAGTGCAATATTTGCTTTGACTTGGCCCAAGACCCAATTGTAACTCTATGTGGTCACCTCTATTGCTGGCCTTGCCTTTACAAATGGCTTCACATTCACTCGCTTGCCCGAGAATGCCCCGTTTGTAAGGCTCTTATTGAGGAGGAGAAGTTGGTACCTTTATATGGCCGAGGAAAGAACTCAACCAACCCAAGGTCTAAGTCGGTTCCTGGTGTGGAAATTCCACACCGTCCAGCTGGGCAGAGACCGGAAACGGCTCATCCCCGAGATACAAACCCTTTTGCCCAACATGGATTTGGATTCATGGGGGGATGGGGTGGATTTTCTCCGATAGCAACTGCAAGGTTGGGGAGCTTCACATTATCTGCGGCAATTGGTGGTCTCCTTCCATCGATGTTTAACGTTCAAGTGAATGGATTTCCTGATGCCACAACGTATGCAGCAGGTGCTGGTTTTCCTCATGGGTATTATAACACGTTTCATGGGGGCAATGCACATGGATTCCCTCAACACACAAGTCAACAACAGCAGGCTGATTACTTACTGAAGATGCTGTTTTTGATAATTGGCATGTGTGTGATCTTTGCTTTAATTTGGTCGTGAGGTAAATTTGCCACCAGCTCTCAATATTCCTCATTTTGTAAATTAGTAGTGCATTACATGTCTATCTTCTCTTTATCTCTTTTATTTTTTTTTCTCTTTGGTGGTTGAGGAATGCATAACACATGCAGAATGTAACGCATAACTTCAGCAGGCATATATAAATCAATATTATTCTGCTTGTCAATTCTTCAGCTTCTCTTGATGTCACTTGTGATCGACTTATATGTGGTGTTGGAACACGTTTGCCATAATTTCCTCATAGTGCTGTATGGATGACTTTGCACCAAAGCGGGACAATTGTGAAGCTTATAACCCAGAGACAGATTCCAAAGGTTTTGCCAGAGTTGTAGGCTGTTGCTAAAAAAAGTTCAGCTGTATCAGAAATAGGAGGAGTTGGCTTCTTTTTTTCTTGGAATCATATGGTCACTTCTATGTTTATTTCCTTATGAAGCTTTTGAAATATTAGTAAAATATGGTATATGGAGATAATAAACCAGTAATCAAACGATACCCTGTAGTTTTGGCTTTTCTTGGATTCCATGAGCTAATGATACCCTGTAGTTGGTTTATGGGAGGTAAATTATTTGAAAGTCAAAACCTTAGAAGTTAAAGTCGGTGTGGATCCATTGTGGAGAATTATGTGCTAATAGACAAGTTGTGGAACATTTTGTTGAGTGCCTAGAATTTTGTAACTAATTGAAGATTACTTGATATATTACTGGATCTCCAATCTCACCATCAATCCCTGAAGTCCTTAAACAAAGGGTCAGCTTCCATGGGATGCGTCAAGAGCGAGTGAGCGAGTTGGTTGGGGTTTGAAGGACCATAAAGGTATCAGCAGAATACTCGAGGAACTATCTTAACCAGATGCTAGAGAATGCATAGGATAGGGTTTAAATGATTGAATGTGGTCATTGTTTGAGGGGGCATGGGAGAGAGATAGGAGTAGATCCGACTTGAATTGACTTGAGGACCCTAAGTGTAATAAGCTTTTTTATTGAATACATCATCAACTTATAGATATCTCAAAATATTTCAAAGCAAAAGATGGAATATATTATGAATAGAATTTATAGTTAAGGTTGTTTTGAGCTGCACCAATTGGTTGTTTGGGGATGATATTGCTGATCCTTGGTATAAAGTGGATGAGTTCTTTGGTGCATTCTTTTAGTTTTTGATTTGTCACCATCTCATCCTTTCCCCATAGTTAATTTTCATCCAGTTTGGGAACACTATAATTGTTGTGTTCATACATTAGGGGGAGAATCCAAAACTGAAATGATGGCGAATTTGCTTCCTTTTGTAAAATGGGGTGTTTGACATTCTAGATGGGATAGCTGCTAGCTTGATTTTATTAAACTTGATTGGTAGAGTCCTTATGGTTCGCAACACAATAGTGACTTAGGTTTGTTTCTCTCTCTTTGCTATAGTCATTAGTGATGTGAAATGCTCAAGTGGTGGACCAGAAACCTCCAAAGCTGATTCCACGACGTATGTTCAGTCATCTTGTGTGGTTCATTACCTTTGGGGGTGATTGGTTTTTGAAGACTTGAGCTGATTTTTGATGAAGTGGTTTGAGCAGTAACATTCAACTCATAGAAACAGTCTTAACTTGATGCCAAACTCTCTGGCCAAGTGTGTGGTTTTACTTCATAGACTGCCAAGGAGTCTGGACAAATTTTGGAGAATGTTTTGTTTTGTTTTTGTTTTTGTTTTGTTTTGTTTTTTTTTTTCTTTTTTTGTGGAGAAGATAGTGACATGACCCGTTAATATGACATGAACACGATATGAAATTAGAAGGTTTGGGTCTTTGTTAAACCATCCGTTTAGTAAATGAGTGAACTCGACACGACATGATTAATAAACAAATCGGGTATGAGTGAAGTCAATTAAAAGAGAAGAAATATATGGCACGATTTGTTAATATATTAGTTATAAACGACACGAATCTAATATGACATGATTTGTTAGACATTAATTAATAAATGAATTTAGTATGAGTGAAACATTCTTTGACACAAACATGCAAAGACTCGATACAATCCTGTTCACTCGACACGATTGACATGCCTAAAAGAAAACCACTCGTGGTATCTCTCTAGAATATTATTATTATTAATACTTAAAGGATATGTATGGTAATTGAGTGGAGAGATTTTGGGTTTGCAATTGATAGCCTCTAAAGGATGTCCTCTTTTCAGGCATTTGTCCTGTATAGCTATCAGATGAGTCGCTTGGATTTGTTGCTAGGCAACTCGACAGCTTTAGTGACGTGAAACAGAGCTTGGGGACTGGGGACCCTTAGACAATTTATCTTGATTTGTTGTTTTCAAGTTCTACGATCCTTTTTAGTGAGTTGTTGCTGTCTTTCTTTATCGTACTCTTACCTGGTCCATTTATGGTATTGCATCTGAAACTCACCTATCCCAGGACTCATCTATCTACCACATCCTCGCGGATTACCTGTTGAGGTAGGGATTTTTGTTTCGTGGACTCTTCTACGTGGATCAAAATTTATATCAAATCACTTGTAGTCGTTGAAACAATAAGTCTCATTATTGATTCAATGGCTGCATTTGATTTCGTGCAAGTTTTGGTGCACAAATTTTGTGTACATAAAATTATCCTTCTGGAGTAATACTATGTGCACTAAAAATATGCACCAAAACTTGTATCAAATCATTTGCATTCGTTGAATCAGTGAGTTTTATTATTAATCCACTGACTACAGATGATTTGGTGCAACTCTCCCCCCCCCCAGGCCATAACAAGCAACCAACAAAAATTTATTGTTAAAAATTTGGTGTGAAAAAGTTAGAGTTAAAAAATTGGTACGAATCCGAATCTCTCTCAATTTGGGTCAACAATAATTTTTTTTTAATTTGGTATAAATTTGCAACAAAGATTGAAGTACGTTGTGGGTCCAAATTAGAATGGAGGTTGGAGATTCAAAGCCCAACAATTTGAAACAAAGATTCAAAGCCCCCAATATATATATATATATATAAAGTAATTTATAATTTAAAATTTAAAAATAAATAAAATTGTTTTTGCTATTTGAAGTTGAGATCACTTTAAATTTTACTTTATAGTTAATTTAACGATTAATATTAACATTCTATATTTAATAGAAAAAATATACCCCTAATGGTGTGTTTGGACTTTTGGAGTGACTTTTTAAAAATTATTTTTCATAAATATTTTAAAAAAAAATAGTATTTGAAATCGTCTCACCACTACCGCCACCACCACCACCACCACTGCCATTGCTGCTGTCGCCACCATCACCCACTATCATCATCGTCGCTGCCCTTACCACCACCACCACCCCCATCGTCGCCACCATCACCCCCACCGCCACCACCACCACTGTCGCTACAGTCACCACCCCCACTGCCCCCACCACCACCGTTGTCGCTGCCACCACCACCACCACCGCTAACGCTATCGCCGCCACTACCAACGCTACCACCGCCACCACCACCACCATCACCATCGTCGCCACCACGATTATTTCCACCCACCACAACCATTATCGTCTCTTACCACCACCACTGCCATTCACCACTCCTCACTCCCACTACAAACTAATACTTAAATTTATTTATCTTTTATCTATATTTGTGATTTAATTTTGGATATGAATGCAATATGTTTATTGTTTATCATTTTTTATTACTTTGTGCCTTCAGACATAGGTAATAACTAGTATATAAATAAAGTACAATACAATTCAAATCTCAAAAAATAAACAAAATGACTTTTATTATTCGAGATTGAGATTGCTTTAAATTTTACATTAAAGTTAATCCAACGGCTAATATTATCACCCCAAATTTAATAAGAAAAATAGGCCCTTAAAAATGTATTTAGAGTGACTTTTTAAAAGTATTTCTAAGAATTAATTTTCATAAGTGTTTTAAAAAAAAATAATATTTAAAACCACCTCACCACTACTTATACCACCCCCACCCCCACCACCCTACCACACCCACCACCGTTGCTGCCTCCATCACCACTTCCATTGCCTCACCACCACCACCATAACCACTACCACCACCATTCCACCATCGTCCCACCACCACTACCACATCCACTGCCCCACCACCACCATTATTGTTGCACCTTACCACCATCGCTACTATCCCACCATCACTCTTACCTCCCTTACCACCCCCCCATGACCGTGCTACCACCACCATCGCCAACCCCCACCTCCACCTCCACCCCCACCCCACCCTCATTGCCCCACCTTCACCATCACCACCTACCATCGATTGTTACTATCGTATTCCATAGCCATCACCCACCATCATCGTCATTTTATTCATATATTTATTACCATTACCATCACCAACCAACTACCATCGTTAGCACCAACCACCACCCATTGTCTCCCATTATCGCCACCAGTCACTGTCACCTACCCCACCACACCTGCCACCACTACTTGTCATCGCCCACCACTGCAGCCACCCACTGTCACCTACCCCCATAACACTTATCACCGTCGCCATTCGCCATCACCCATTACACTGTTGCCTAGAAGCACTCATCGTTGCCCACCACCACATCATCACCACCCACCACCCACCACCACCACCACTTCCAACCACTATCACTGTCGTCCACCAGCACCCACACCCACACCCACCACCACTACAATTGTCACTACCATCATCGTCACTCAAAACTCACCATCACCATTGCCACTCACGGCTGCTACCACCACCACGGTCGTCACCTTACGCACCACAATATCACCGTCTCCCACCATCACTACTGTCGCCCACCACCACTGCCACCGCTCACCTCCATTACAATCGGTGTTTAAATTTTTTTTACGTTTGTGATTTAATTTTGGGTGTAAATACAAATATGTTGACCATTTTTTTATTACTTCATATCTTTAAGCACGAAGAATAACTAGTATGTATATCTATATATAGTGGGGGTTTTGGGTGGTTTTGCATTAAGGACCTTGTGTTAGTTATAATAACACTTTTGTTTATGAAGTTTCACATTAGGGACTTTTTTTTTGTTGTCCTGTTTTTTATTTTAGAAACACTTTCGCTTGATATGATGACTACACAAGTGGAGTCTACAAAAATAAAAGTGTTATATTGTTCCACTGCCAATATTAGGGTCTGTAATGTAATTTAGGGGTGTAATTTGGACATACTAACTTGAACCTAATCTGAATT